ATTTGTATTGGAGGTACTTTCTCAAAAGAAATGAAGTCTTCTAAACATACAACCATAAGAGGATAACTTAATTGTGTAGTTTATTTTAAATAATACATTTATGCTAATAATGATTCCAGAAAGTTTTACTTGTGTCTTCTTCTTCTGTTTGTAGAAAGTGCAACATGAGTTGCTGGTGGTGGTCTTTGCCAATGACCTACTTGAAAAAAAGCATTCTGGATGTCGTGCATTGCTCAGAGATGATAAGGTATGGTGCACTCTATTCTTTTTGACTGTATGCAAATAAGCATATAAAATAAATGGTTGACCAGCTTTGTTCACACTGTGCTAGGTGGATGATCTTTCTAGGATGTACAGGCTTTACCATAAAATACCCGAGGGATTGGAACCGATTGCTAATACATTCAAGCAGGTCTGGCTTTCTACTTCCTCTTTTCTGTAGGTTTAGTGGGCTGATCTTTTCATTTACCTCTTTTGCTTACACTTTCTGAGAATGTACTTTTGCAGCATGTCACTAATGAAGGTACTGTCCTCGTTCGACAAGCTGAAGATGCTGCAAGTAACCAGGTAAAGTATGGCGTTCTTATTTTTTTCTGATAGTAATATCAAGAATGCTGCACTTGATACCATGCTAAGTTTTCTCTATAAATAAATTACTTTTTTGCTATTGTTTCTCTGGACTAGTATTTTTACTTATATCAGAAATTAAAATATCAGACATTTGTCACAACTGATCATCTTATTTTCTTCCTTAGGCTACAACTTCTTCTGGTGCCCCAGAGCAGGTAAGTGTACAATGTGCTGTGTCCTGTGGTTTCTTTTGAAAATTTTTGAAGATGTCCAAAATTGATGTGATTGTTATCTTCAGGTCCTCATCAGGAAAATAATTGAATTGCATGATAAGTACATGGCCTACGTGACTGACTGTTTTTCAAACAACACACTATTCCACAAGGTTTGTGATGGAGAATAATGCTAAAATAGTTACTTGGATCTTTTCCATAACTTTATCTTAATGTGCTTTTGAAAAATCCTTCAATAGGCTTTGAAGGAGGCTTTTGAGGTCTTTTGCAACAAAACTGTTGCTGGTGGTTCCAGTGCTGAACTTCTGGCAACGTTCTGTGATAATATCCTCAAGAAAGGGGGAAGTGAGGAATTGGGTGATGAAGCTATTGAAGAAACACTTGAAAAGGTAGCTAAATGAATTTTTTTGTTATCAAACTAATGGTGAATTTTTTGACTTTGATCTGACTAGCTTTCTTTATTTCTAAAGGTGGTTAAACTCCTTATGTATATTAGTGATAAAGATCTTTTTGCTGAGTTCTACAGGTAAGACCTCTTTGCTATTCCTTTTTTCATGTTTCATTTATTATATAGGATGGATTTTTCAATTTCTTTTGATGGCATCCTAGAATTTTAATAAATTTTGGTACTCAATTTATCTCTCCAACTCTTTACAGGAAAAAGCTTGCTCGGCGTCTTCTTTTTGACCGCAGTGCTAATGATGATCATGAAAGGAGTATTCTGACTAAGCTGAAGCAGCAGTGTGGGGGACAGTTCACATCGAAGATGGAGGGCATGGTAAGCTCTCTCCACATTTTATGCTTTATTACTTATCTGTAGGGTAAATTTATCTATGGTAATATACAATTTCTGATCTCTTCTTTCCAGGTCACTGATTTGACATTGGCAAGGGAAAATCAGACTGGTTTTGAGGGCTATCTAAGTTCTAATCCAGCTGCACATCCTGGATTAGATTTAACAGTGACTGTTCTTACAACTGGATTCTGGCCAAGTTATAAATCCTTTGATCTCAACCTCCCTGCAGAGATGGTATGACTTCCAGATTCTTAAATGAGGGGCAATGTCTGAATTGGTTGTTGCAGTAAAGAGGGTGTGTTTTGTTTTCATTTTATATATATTTTTCAATGTTATTGTTTCAGGTCAGATGTGTGGAAGTTTTCAAGGGATTTTATGAAACAAAAACAAAACACAGAAAGCTTACGTGGATTTACTCACTGGGAACTTGTCATGTCAATGGGAAGTTTGAGCAGAAGACTATTGAACTGGTTGTCTCTACCTATCAGGTAGTTCCTATATTGTAGCCTGATCAATTTTGCTCGAGAAAGAAGATAAATGTAGCTTGGTTTTGGATATCCATTACTCTCTTTCTATCTTCTTTTGTTGTCATATTATTTTTAATATTGGTTGACTTGTTTTTGTCTCTTGATATGGGATTCTTATGTTTAACAGGCTGCTGTCCTGCTGCTTTTCAATTCTTCGGATCGCTTGAGCTACTCAGAGATCATGGCTCAATTGAATTTGACCCATGATGACTTGGTCAGATTGCTTCATTCACTGTCTTGTGCCAAGTATAAGATCCTAACTAAAGAGCCAAACACTAGAACCATTTCCCAAACTGACTCCTTTGAGTTCAACTCCAAGTTCACCGACAGGATGAGGAGGATTAAGGTCTGTGAATGTTTGGATAATTCCATAATTAGCTTGTCTTTCCCAAAATTCATTGCATGTACTTGTATATTTTTAAGTTTTCATTTTATAATCAAGGTTTAGATTGGTGATGATAAGCTTCTAAAAATTTTCCTACTGTAGATTCCTCTCCCGCCAGTGGATGAAAGGAAGAAAGTTGTTGAGGATGTCGACAAAGACCGACGTTATGCCATTGATGCTGCACTTGTGCGCATAATGAAGAGTAGGAAAGTTTTGGGTGACCAACAATTAGTTTCAGAGTGTGTTGAGCAGCTGAGCCGCATGTTCAAGGTAACTAAATATAGCATTCATCTTTAGATGTGCCATATAAGAGAACCTTAATAACAGAACAAAACGGATTGCAATCTTGTCGAAAAAAGGAGATGTTACCCAGACTGACAATTGGCATATTTTTTACCAGTCTTTTCTTTTTTGGCCAAAAGGGACTCCGGAATTTAAATCTAATGTTTGGCAAGGAATAATTTAGGAATAATGGTTTAGGATAACTCTTTGTTGTTTGATTCTTGCCCTCTTCAATGTTATTTTTGCTGTGAACTTATGTTCGATGTACTAATTACATGTGATGGAATGTGCAGCCTGACATCAAAGCCATAAAGAAGCGAATGGAAGATCTCATCACTCGAGACTATCTAGAAAGAGACAAGGAAAATCCGAACTTGTTTAGGTACTTGGCCTAGTTGATCTTGGTGGTTATAAACTGGAGTATGGGATGGGCGATTTCTGTCAAGTGGAATTTTCGAGCTGGAAAGCAGCGGTGGGGAAAGATAATAGTGACACTCTTAATTAAAAATTGATGTATATGTTGTGCAGTTGCAGTGCATTTAGCGTCTCAGGATCAGATAAATTTTTTGATCATTGGCTCAGAAGCCAATTTTGCGCTGTTAACTTTCATCACCATTATCTTTATTAGGCAAAAATTAATAGGAATATCAATTTTCTAACAGTTTAGCAGATTTCCCTATATGATCACTTGAATTTGCATGGTGGGTGTTATTTGATACTTTCTAATTGGTTTCTGACTCCATAATTTCCAGGTATTATTAATCAGAAAATGGTGAGGAATAGCACATGAGATTTTCTTGTCCACAATGCCTTTGTATTTCCTTCTGATGGGTTCTAGTATGGAACCATTCCAA